GAGTGACACCCCTCACATTAGATGCTGGTTTTGTAATTGTAAGGATGAGTTAGGTCAAACTCTAATATCTCTAACTTGTTGAAGTCTTTGTTTTGGTGTTTTCCCTCATGGCTATCTATAAAGTATCTTCAACTTGAAGCGGCCTAGCAAGCCTCTTCCTTAGCTACTACTGCTAATATGGTAGCATCGGTAATTCTGTATCTGGTCTTTCTCATTCTAGTCCTGTTGGATTTTTTATTTTGAAATTTAGCAACTTTGATCCCACAGATATCATTCCTTCTATTTTTGCTAAATTACTATCTCCTACAACACCAAGCCACATTACTCTTGCTGACGTGTCTAAAGCCCCAAGTTAACAAGCTTCACCTTTGTCATTCTCTCTTATTTGCACAGGGCTGCCCTGTTAATTTGATCTCCATCTGTCAGCTTGTTCATTCCCTCAATTGTTCCATAACTTTTATGCTTGATTCTTTAGTTAAACAGCACAGGTGATTGTAACAAGATTTGAATCACGCCGACTCTACTATCTTTAACCTTCTTCCACTATATGTGATGTAACTGTATCTCGTATTTATTGATGCCTGGCATCCAAGTATAACAAACTTATCTAAACAGTTAATTACCTTTCCCATTTGCAATTGTTTGAGTGAGTCTTGTCATCTTGGAAAACTTGTTAAGGTTTCCTTTCCAATGTCAATAAGCAAGCTATGACTCCTTCAAATGTTTGGGTGCTAATCATGTTCTTTCTGTTTTGGGGTACAGAATACAATTTTTGTCATATTCTTTGATGATATCTCTATGTATACTTGGATATTTCTTAATGTGTACTGGATATTTTTAATGGATCAGATGGTCATTGACTTCCTTTTTCCTTTTGTAGAATTTTGTGAGGTTTGGGTATATTTACATGTGCTATTTATGTATTAATATGCAGTGGCTCGCAGCAGTGGAGCTGGGTCTCTTAAAGGGTCGTCATCCTCTTCTAACAGACATAGATGTTACAATAAATCCCTCTAAAGGATTAGTTGTTGTGGAAGAAGTGAGGACAGATAAGAGTCCAAAAGTCGGAAAATTGTCGGGGTCAGATCCATATAATGGCAACTCTACTGACCCTACTAAAGGTTTGCTTGAAGAAAGTAAGAATGATGCTGGAAAATTGTCGGGGTCAGATCCATATAATGGGAACTCTACTGACCCTACTAAAGGTTTGCTTGAAGAAAGTAAGAATGATGCTGGCGTCCACTTTAGGCTCCAACACAATCTACAACAGAACATTGAGCATAGAGATGTGAGCTTACAGGTAAAAAGTGACCCATTACAGCAGAATAGCTCCAGTGGTACAGATTTGATTGGAGAGGAGAATGCTGCATCAGTGGATAGTGAACAAGGCCGTGTTCTGCAGACAGCCCAAGTAGTAACCAATATGCTTGATGTTACAATGCCTGGTACTCTTACAAAAGAACAGAAGAAAAAGGTAGATCATAAAGTTTTCTATAATCAGGTGTCATTTCTGTGTTTGGGAGGTTGTTTGTAAGTTCTGTCTTTCATTAATGTAATAATCTTTCCTGCTAATAGTATATTTAAGATTTTGTAACTATCACAACTAACTTACTATCAGCTTCACAACTAAACTTACCTGAATTAACTAACTTTTAACAACATATGTATGACTTCGTTCTATATTTATTTTCTGAAGATAATTGCAATACATGTCTCTACATCCATCATATGTTAGAAGATTTCATTTTTATCGTATTGAAGTGTTATATTATTCAGGTTTTACTTGTGACCTTTCATACTATTTATTTATTTATTTATTTTTCATTTACTCGTGAATATTTGGTGAATCTACTGTGAACTTCAATTATGCTTATTTTCTAAATTATTTTTATATACTTTGTCAGTACGGTATTCTGTTGTTATTTGCAATGAAATATTTGCAATATGACTCTACCTTTTGGCTTAAATCACAATGCAAATAAATAGTTGGATTAAGATTCCTGGTTTATTTAAGTGTTAACCTTACAGATGAAGGTTTTAAGGCAAAGAAAAAAACTTCATTAATGTTCTTATACTAAGCAGTTCATTTAAAGATAACAGATAGTTTTGGATAACTTGGTTAATTTGTTTCTTTGGGTTAAGCAATCATTTTTTTCTCGAAAACTTTGGTACTCTAGTGTCGATCTAGCAGAATGTGACACGTTTTTTCTTCACTTGTTTGGTATATCTTTATTTTTGTTCTTTTATAAATGTTAAATATTGAGTTCAGAATCAATAGGAATAAGTTCTTCTATTTATGCGTTAGCTTTTTTATTTTTTGTCTTCTAAAGTGTGTGTGATTGTGCTACATGAATTCTCAATGGCTTTGCATTTTGTTTGAAGAATGTCTTATTTATCCTCATACTTGGCACGGGTCACTTGATTTTCTGTATTTTTTTAATATCGTGTCAAATGTGTAATGGTTTGTCTAAATTCTGGATTAGTGTTAAAAATTGGTAACTGCAGTGACGCTTGAAACGAAATTTCCAGGTGTTAGCTGCTGTGGGTCGGGGTGAGACCCTCATGAATGCTTTGGAAGGTGCTGTTCCGGAGGATGTTCGTGGAAAGTTAAAAGAGGCTGTTGCTGGAATTTTGCATGCACGAGGCTCTGACTTGAAGTTTGATAAAGTTCTCAGCATTGCTCAGTCTCCTGATTCATCACCAGGGCATAAGAACGAAGAAAAGGCAACAGAAGCATCAACTGCAGAAGTTAGGAAAGGCCAGTCCTCTTCAAATCAGATGAAAAACACTAATAGTTCTATAGATGGCTCTGATAAAGTTGCAAGTGACATGGGGGAGCCTGCAGAAGGAATAGAGGCAGAAGTTGTCCGTGTAGAGATACATTCTACAAGCTCATCTCAATCTCAAGAATCAAACAATGAAGTTGGTTCTTCCGGTTCTTCGAAGGAAAATGGCGAGTCTAGAGAAAATAATGATACAAGTGGGGATTTAAAAGGAAAGGTTGTTCCTGATATGGATCATAGCGAGAAGGGGTTAGAAACGGGTTCTGAATCGTATACTCTCAACCATCCTGATGCGGCAGGTGGATCTGAAGCTGAAGCTGTTACTGAACAGAAAAGCCAAAAAGGTGGAATAGCTCAAACAGAAACAGAGGAAAATAATATCCCGAAGGTTGACCAGAAAAATCAAGATTTCTCTAATGATCAAAGTAAAACAGCATTGACTGATGCAAAAGAAGAACCTTCTCCTCCGATGTCCTCTGAGCACCAGGCAGTGGAAAGAGAAGGTAATGGTGATGAAAATAAAGATATTCAGAATATACAGCAAACTTCACCTCAAACTAACTCTTCCAGTTCAGGTCTCGCGGCCCCCGGCTTCAGCGTTTCTCAAGCATTTGAAACCTTTACAGGGATGGATGATTCCACCCAAATGGCTGTTAACAGTGTTTTTGGCGTGATAGAAAATATGCTAACTCAGCTTGAGAATAACTCAGATAATGAAACTGAAGTCAAGGATGGAAAAGCTATTGAACACAAGCTAGATGAACAACCAAAAAGTAGTAGCCAGAGCAATGATTCCAACATGTCTGGAAATCCTTCTCTAGATAATGAAGCTGAAGTCAAGGATGGAAAAGCTATTGAACCCAAGCTAGATGAACAACCAAAAAGTAGTAGCCAGAGCAATGATTCCAACATGTCTGGAAATCCTTCTCTAGATAATGAAGCTGAAGTCAAGGATGGAAAAGCTATTGAACCCAAGCTAGATGAACAACCAAAAAGTAGTAGCCAGAGCAATGATTCCAACATGTCCGGAAATCCTTCTCTAGATAATCACCATGATGGCATGTCCTTGAGTATTGATTCATGCCATACGGAAGAACAACTAAAAACCCTCAGCATAACTAATGGAAGCAGTGGGAGTGATTCTCAAAATTGTTACTCTAATGATCACCAAGTTAAGAAGACTGGTAATACAAATAGTCAACTGATTGATAAAAGATTTCTCTATGATGAATGGGATGGACACAGACAGGTAAGTAGGATGCCAGACTTCATAGCTGGAGGTTCATATGGATATGGGAACTCTCCGTACAAAAATTACCTCCGTAAATATCTTGTTTCTGAGATTCGTGCCAAAAAACATGATTTAGACACAACAACTGCATTATTTCTTGATTATTTCCCAGAAAGTCAGAAACTCTTTGAACAACCACAAAACGTGGAAATTGCTTCTGCTGATGCTGAAATGTATAAGGAGGTTGGGAGCAAGATGAAACCCCACACATCTGCAAAATCTTTTGATGAAAAAGAGTGTATTGAACCACCATATGTGATATTAGATGCAGAAAAGCAACAAGAACCGGTTAGAGAGTTCATCACTACAGACACTGAGAACGTAATGATTCATACTGGCGATGACAGGTCAAAAGAGTCTATCCAATTTGTGAAAAACAAAGTACTAGATTCTTTGAAGATGGAAGTTGGTCGCAAGCTGAATGCCACGGAAATGATAGAAATGAAACCAAAGCTTGCCAGAGATATGGAACATGTGGCGAATACGGTCTCACTAGCTGTTGGAACTAGCAAGGGGCAACTACTCTATTCCAAATGTCAAGGCCATGATGTTGAGGGTGCTGTAGGAAAGGTTGGCACGCTTGATAGGGAACATATCATTAGGGCAATTTCATCTTCTGTTCAGCAAACAAGCTGCCTAAGAAAAGTTATGCCTGTTGGTGTTATTGTTGGATCCATCTTAGCTTCCCTTAGGAAATATTTTAATGTAGCTCCACATCAAGAAAATGGCCAGGGAAGATCTCATGCCCTTGGTGATGAGGAGAAACCTGGTGGAAAGAATTATGTCATTGATGATGCAACAGTGGCAGGTCAAGTACCAGATGAGAAACCCAGTTTGGACCATCCCATCAAGAGAGAACTTGTAGAAAGTGAATTAGAAGATTCAAACAAAAATACTTACATGGTTGGTGCTGTTACAGCTGCTATTGGGGCTTCTGCTTTATTCATGCAACCAAAGGTATTGTTTCAGTCTCTTCATATGCTTTCAGGGCTCTCTACAATTAATACCTCTGTGCAAGATAGGGATCAAGTATTCTATTTATCACTTGGTTACTTAACCGCTTTCTAGATATAGGTTTGGTATTGAGGTATGTCATGATCCATTGGATTTTCTTTCAAAAAAATTGACCTAAACATGTCTAGTTTCTCATATATCATCTTAATTGCAATCTATTCAACTGTGTGGTTGTTCACTCATTATTTACTTTTCTCTTGTTATGACCCTTTACTCAATTTACATTTTATTGAAGTTGTAATGATTGATGACTCTTCTCGATCAATTTTTGAAAACTGAAAGAATCAAGTTGATAATAGACTGCCTACAGAAAGTGGTCAAACACATGGGAGAAATATATATTTACTACTTTAAAATTTAACTACCAGTTACTAGTAAAGGAAAGTGTTTGTGTTTTTTTTAGCTTTAATTACTCTATTATAGGATACACAAGGAGAAAATGAAAATCACCAAAAGAAGCCAGAAGAGCTCAAAGAGAAAGTCTCCGATAATCAGAGTAACATAATCACAAGCCTTGCTGAGAAAGCCATGTCGGTTGCTAGTCCAGTTGTACCTACCAAAGAAGATGGTGGAGTGGATCAAGATAGGTCAGACAGAACACATATATTACCACTATACAATACTCCACTGTTCTTTTTTCTGTTACAATAATTTGACACAGCTTCCCTTTCTGATCAGACTGGTTACAATGCTAGCTGATTTAGGGCAGAGAGGTGGCTTGTTGAGGCTAGTTGGAAAATTTGCTTTGCTATGGGGTGGTATCCGTGGTGCAATGAGTTTGACGGACAAGCTTATCTCAGTCTTTCATTTTTCTGGGCGTCCGTTGTTTCAGAGGTAACTTGAACTAATGAATGTTCATTCCATTCTCTGCTTTCCTACACTGCTGCTGCCTTCCAGTCTGGAAATACCTGGTAGAAAATAGAAACCGTGTTAATTTAATCATAATCAATTGCTCGTTTTGACTTCTAGTGGAGAGGCAACAGTATTATTTTTTAAAAAATGTTTTGGAGAATCTACTGACTTCTTTTTAGTTAGAAAATTTATTGATTCTGCCATCACCAGTGCTGCATGATCCCAATTAAATTTTTTTAAAAACTAATATCCGTGTCTATTTGGCAGTTTTTCTCATTTTGTTGAATTTCTTGACTGCTTTGAGGGAAGTTCAATCCTCTAGGTTTATTAGGATGATTTATGAATGTTGATGTTTGTTATGAATTAACTATTAGTTTTTTTAAGAAGATTAGTAAGTTAGAATAAAATCTGAATTCAACCATTCAGGTGTGATATGAAGACTATTTCTCATCCCTCATTTTACTCCTTTATTTTTCTAATTCGGGATAGATTAGTCATTTCATATTTAATTAAGTATGGCTATAAATCCTACTTGTTGAGATTTCTACTGATGAGATGGCCCGGAATGTGTTTATAAGTTGAAAACATTGTTCATCTTGCAAGATGGTTTTATAAGGTTGAGTTAGGCCCAACCCAAGTTTTTAATGGTATCAAAGCCTATCCAATATGTTTCGTTGGGCCACCTGCTATTGGGCTATTCAAGTCGTGCTATAGTTGTCTAGTCTTGGGGTAAGGGAGTGTGTATTGAGTCCCACGTTAGATGGGATATGTCTAAAAATTTGCTTAGAAGTGGGAGGCATCTCTCATCCTGCAAGCCAATTTTGTAAAGCGAGTTAATCCCAATCCATAATTTAATTTTTTAATATATGGCACAATAATGAGCAAGAGAATTAGTTTTATTCTTTCTTAAAACTTGCAAATTTTCAAGGTTCAGCAAAGAGGCTTAAGAAAAGGCCCTGTTGAACTACACTCAAACGGTAAACTGGGGCCTCTTTTTTTTTTTCCTTTTCGATAAGCATTAATACTTTTTTATTTTTTATTTTTTATAAACACAAGCATTGATACTTCAGCACATTTGTTTTTAATATGAAATAACGAAGACAGCTTGGTGGGTAACTTAACATCAACTTCATGCAATAACAGATATTGTGTCTCTTCTTAAATTATATTCAAGGCTGCCATTACAAATATTTTCGGGGTTAATCATGAGAGGTCTATTTGTGCACCATAATTGAGCCCTTTCAGTAAACCAATTAAATAAACATCATTAATCATTTTAAATAATTTAGAAATTTATGGGTTGATATCTAGTAATGGACATTTACTTGTGTGCAGAGACGGATCCACACTAGTGCTATTGGAGGCAGCTGCCCCCACTTAGTTGTTTATGATATTATAACAATTTTGAACAATTTTGTTTCTCATTTAATTAAACACCAATGTTGCCCCCATAAAAATTATTCAATATTTTTTTATTTTAAAAATTAAATATGCATGACTTATTGAAAGATTAATTTTCTACATAAATAAATAAAAGCTATAATAAAAAAAATTAAAAGAACAAGTTAGTCTACAATTTAAAAATATAAATACCTTAAAAAACAATTCTTAGATGTTCCATGTATTTTATATTTTTTTGGATATAAAATGACAGAATTCTTTTTACTCACTAAATATTATATTTATTTTATCACTTTTACATTAATATTATGCCCCCATTAACAAAAATTTCTGGATCCGTCCCTGTGTGTGTGCATAGTATTCCTTGCGGTCTAGATTATAAGCAAAAGTAACTAATTTCACACTTATTAAGAAAATTAGTTTAGTGTAAGTAATCGTCTTTTAAAAAGTGCATTCTCAAAAGGGTCCTCCATGAGAACTTGTTCCGTGAGAATAAATGATACGTTAGAAAATAAAATTTATATTAATTGAGCGATAGTTTAGGAAAGTCATCATTAAATAGAGTGAAAATAGTTAAATTTGCATATATTTGAGACTGCCAATGAGTACTTTTTTTTGTTTATTTGAAGCTGAAAGGTATATGTTATCAACTGAGTAACTTTTTATTTGCATGAAATTTATATGCTTTATTTGCATCATAAAAACTTTAAATTCAATTGTTGGATTGGTTAACATGATTAAATAGTAAATGGTTTGTCGCTGGAACTCTGCCTGGTCTGTATGTGATATCACAAAATGAAGGCCTGAATTTATTACTCTAAATATTCACATGCAAACATTGAATGGTGATTTCCCATATATGCACATGATTGCTGATATATATCTTCCCTAGGTTTTTATATATGGTGTGTGAATTACATCTTCTCAAACTGCACTGCTTTTTCCTTGTCTAGGATCTTTGGGTTTGCTGGCATGATCCTTGTTTTATGGTCTCCTGTTGCTATTCCGTTCCTTCCTACAATTGTTCAGGGTTGGACAACAAACAGTCCTTCCATAATAGCCGAGTGTGCCTGCATTATTGGCTTGTACATTGCTATAATGATACTTGTAATGCTATGGGGGAAAAGAATCCGTGGATATGAAAATGCATTTGAGGAGTATGGGCTAGACTTGACTTCACAAAGGGTAAATCTTCGACAGTAGTTTCAATAGAATATAATGGCGATTATTTTGGATATTTTTCTTTAAGGTTGTCACTGTAATGTAATCTTTTTTTCTTTAAATTTGTCACTGTAATGGGAAATTCTGCCTTCATTGCGGTCCGTCCCTACATTTGACTTGCATTCATTGTAACTTCCAACACTTTCATCTGTTGGGTTTGAAGGGAGTGTTTTTAGTCCCACATTGCTTAGAGACATGACATGTGTAGTGTTTATAAAGTTTGGGCAACCCTCACCTTCCAACCTAGTTTTGTAGGGATGAGTTAGGTCCAACTCACACATTCTAAGAGTTTATGTTTGGGGATGGGTGGGTGATGGGAGCTTCAGGAAAAATATGATATTCTTAGTGAGTATATTGTTCTCCTGCAATAGTTGTCTTGATTCATGAAAGATAAACTAATTTTGGACCCTTGTTGCAGTTAGTTGAATTTTTGAAAGGCTTGGTCGGTGGAGTCATGTTCATTTTTTCAATCCATGCTGTGAATGCATTTCTTGGTTGTGCAAGTTTCTCTTGGCCTCATATTCCACCTTTAGATATCATGGCTTTGCTAAAAGTGTGTGGACAAATGGGTCTGCTATTTGTTCAAGGAACTGCAATGGCAAGTGCTATTTCATTGGTGGAAGAATTGCTTTTCAGGTCATGGTTGCCCCAGGAAATTGCAGTTGATCTTGGATATCAGCGTGGAATCATAATTTCAGGGCTAGCATTTTCTTTCTTACAAAGGTTTGTCTTATCACCATGTTTTTCCTGTTATTCATGCACGTATTATCCATGCATGACACTTGGGGTTTTACTAGACAATGAACTGCCTTTTTTAATTCTTTCTTCCCTAATAATTTTTTTGTTAAAGTATCTTAGTTTTTGTTTTTCGTATGTTTTCTTTTTGTTCTTGTACATTTGTTTGTTCCAATGAAAAATTAAGGAGGGAAATTTAGGAGAGTAAAGATAATTGAAAGAGTGAGAGATTAAGATGAGATATATCGAAGGGAAATGTCGAAACACAACTATTTTCTTGGATTTGCACACAATGACAATTGATCCAGTTGCTAATGATTTAAGTCTTGTTGGTGAGTGATATGTAAGTACATTTGTAAGCACTTTTTGAGCAGTTTTCTCTCCATTCTCATATTACTAATCCTCTAGGGGTGAAAATATGTTAAGACATTCGGTTGAGGCCTAAGCTTGTCTTACTCACATTTAGGGAGCTCAAACACTCCTCAAAACATGCAAGAGGTCATTCACAAAATTTATTCACAAATTTCTTATGCCGGATGGACCATCTTGAAGTTTTATACTTGTTGGCCTATTTAAAGGCCTAGGCTGATAAGCCTTTATAAAACCCCTATTAATAAGAATTAAATGTTTATGTAAACTTTCATATCAAGTCAGGATTTGCAATAGTGGTGCCAAGTCTTAGAAACAGACCTATTCGAAATAAATTAGTCAAGCTTGAACCTTGTGTTTGGGAACATACCTAGTTTATTTACGACAAAGTTCGACCAATTTTCACCCCTACAATAATCCCACCTATTCTATTTGATTTTAAAAGGTTTCTAACCTTTTCAGAGTTCCAATTTGTGCTAGTTAGTGCAGAAAGGATGTATGCCAAAGCACATCGTATGAATTGCACAAGCCTGCATCTCAATTCATATTTAATGCTATTCAAGTCCTTACGTAATTCATGAGACTTAAAAAAAGCCACCAACAACCATGTCTTATCATTGTGGAGTTCTGTAATTTAACATTTTGTTTTCAGCTATGTTGCAACCCGCATCCCTTTGACAATGTTGTTGGAAGATGTCTTATATATCTTCTCAAAAAATATGAGTGACCTCTTTGCCTTTTTCTCAAATGTCTTTGATATCTTCTGCTCAAAAAACATAAGTGACCCCTCTGCCTTTTCTAAAATTTGAAAGATGGGTCTTTCACAACCCTTAAGTGGCCCCTTTGTCATTGCCATTGACCTCAATTTTTTCGCATATTTGTACTTCATGTCAGTTTTAGCGGCTCATTGACACACTCATGTCTCAACTCTTGTACTGCTACTAGTGACCTAGTCTGCAAGCCACAGCTTCATAAACGCCAGATAGGAAAGTTCACAAACACAAACCATACCTAACCAAGGCAATAAAAACTCTTTTAACTTATGAGAATTATATACGTATCTTGAACTCTCCGAATTTAATGCTGGATATGTCCTTTTTAACAAAAATAGTTTAATTTTCTCCATTTTTAGGCTTGCTGGATATATCCTTTTAACAAAATATTTAAATTTTCTCCTTTTTTAGGCTTGAGTTTGTTTTACTTGATACGATTTTAATGCTATATATTAATAAACAATAGAATTTTTTTTCTTTTGCTTGGGTTTCCAGGTCGCTATCATCAATACCGGGACTTTTGCTTTTATCTTTGTCCTTGTCGGGTGCCCGACAGAGAAACAGAGGTAGCCTCTCTATTCCTATCGGGCTACGTGCGGGGATGTTGGCGTCGACTTTTATTTTGCAAAAGGGTGGTTTCTTAACATATAATTATAAAGGAAACATTCCTCTTTGGGTAATTGGGTCTCATCCATTACAGCCATTTAGTGGTTTAGTTGGTTTTGTATTTTGTTTATCACTAGCAATAATTCTCTACCCCAGAGAGACTTCACAAAAAAGTGAAGCTAAGGAGTGAGTGAAACATTCATCAGCAAAGAGAATCACAGTTATGAATTTAATGATATAGCCCTGTTATGTGCCAAAATTGGAATTAGTTGGTATTTTTGGTGGGTTGTTTTGATTCTACTATACACAATACAAGTTTTTCTTGTAATATCAATTGGGGAGCAAAGAATGGGAAGACAGTAATTGAGACATACAAAGAAAGGTGAAACTTTGGAAAATTGAAAGCTTCAGTTCTCTCAAGTATCATACAAAATCTTCATGTAGAGAGGTTGGCACTACTGTTTCATGGGTTTTATATATAAGGTATGATGTACGAGGTCCTTTTTGTAAGTAGAAAGGTATATGTGTTTGTATATAATTGTGTTTTGTTTATATACTTAATTAGTTTATTAGCTAGTCAAAATATACATTAGGATTTTTGTAATTTTCACTAGTTTTATCATTATAGGACGGACAAGGTTCTTGAGAAGTGAATAATTTACAATAGAAAGGAAAGTAATATCAATTGTCGTTTGTCAAAAAAAAAATATTAATTGTCGATAAATAAATCAATTGTTGATATTATATGCACAATTGTAACAAAATATGAGTGGTTACAATATCAACTATTAATTTTTTTATTTTACTCATTTTCTATTTGTATTCTCTTTTCCATTTTGAGAGGTGTAGGTATAATGTAATGTTAAATTGTAACATTACAATTGACTCCAATGTTTTTCAAAGCAATAAGAATACATGTTAGTTATTCGGTTATTCTAGCCTAAGGAGCAACTACATAATGGTGGCAACATTTTCCATATCCACTTGCTTGTGGGAACTCTTTCATGGAAGGGCATACATGCTAACTTTTTGTGAACCTAAAGGCATTCCTTTATGTAGTTTCAGGCTCTATTTTCTAAGGAAATATAGTTTTAGACTGTTTTTTTTTTAATAATTTTTTTATTGTACTCTATTTTTAATGTATCATGTGAATTTTTATATATGTTCCTTAATTTTTGAAGAAGGTTGACATATTATGGAAATACATTTCCGAAACTATTTAAACATTCAAAACATGTCACTCAGATACCATTTACATTTGAATTGTTTCGAAGATGCATCTTTGATAATATTTTGGAGATAAATCTCTGAAGTGTATCATAACAGGTTGTTTTTTGAATCTAAGTTGTGTATTTGTTTTCAGATGAAGTATGAAGTACAATCTTGAATAAAAAAAATAGATGTACAAAACAATAAGAGACTAATACTAGATGTGTCGAAAATAATATAGTATATGTAGAAAATGTTATAATCGAGATCCAAAATGTAACAAAATCGTAAAATAAAGTAGATAGTGCATGTAATACAACAAATAGTAGCATACTACTATTGTGTGTGTCTGATAACATCTCCTACACCTTCTTTGCTTTCTCGACCATCAATCCCCCTCTCTCGGTCCTTCGACGATGTCTCCGGTACATCAGTGACCCATGTGCCTCCCTCGTGAAAGCATTCAATACTCGCCTGACAGTAGACTCATCAGGGAAGATACCCTCGTTAATGTCTATCCGCACAATCTCCACTATTCAAAGACACATAGGCAAGACATCATCAATATGATCTATCTGAGTCTGCTCTTTCTCTAGTATCTCCTGATGAGCCGGTCTCAACGGATCTCTTGGAACAATATGCACCATGTACGAATGTGACACCTTGAAAAATTGTATGATGTATCCCTCGACGTAGCTATAGTCGCTCGGCGCTATGGTAGCCCGTGTTTCCTCCATAATCAAGAAATATCTCCTATATCTGTCTACGAGTCAAGGCAGGAAGAGCAAGACAGCAGGGTGTCTGGGAATGGTCTGGGTGTACTTGAACTGTCGCATTCTCGTCAAATGACAATGTCTGACGTAATCCACGTAGTTGTTGAAGTGCATGTCCTCAGCAACCAAACGATCAATATAGACTCTAAAAGGTTCGACCGTCTGATTCCCTCTGAGCGGGGTAAAAGTAGAGGCGCAAGGCATGTCCTCAGTGTACTCATCCACACTCACTCAGCCAACGATGCACAGGAAGTGTTGGAGGATTCAAGCCTGAAATGATAATAAAAAAAATATTCAAGGATCAAGAATTATTGACAATGGTTTCACAAATATGAAATGACAATGACAAAAAAACATTCAAGGAACAAGAATTATTACCACTAGTAGTGTCACGCTGCCTGTGACCTGCTTCGTCTTCTACAGACATCTCTCTCTCTCTCTCTCTCTCTCTCTCTCTCTCTCTCTCTCTCTCTCTCTCTCTCTCTCTCTCTCTCTCTCTCTCTCTCTCTCTCTCTCTCTCTCTCTCTCTCTCTCTCTCTCTCTCTCTTTCAACTTCGAATAAAGATAGGTCAGTCAAGCCGCCCCCCAGTTGTATTCATGGATCCGCTGTAGATCCAAGAAGTACATGAGGTAGACGATGTCAGTATAAGTGACACTAGTGTCCACAAAAATACAAGTGCCAACCAAAAAAAGAAAGTATGCTCTCAAAGCATGTGTCTTGTGTATTGCCACCTGCTCAACATCACCATGTGCCTGTCGTGCCTTATTGATCTCGACCACTTACAACTTCTTCAAGAACTCAAATCTAGCACAAACACCCATGATATTATCCACCTCCGTCATCGCCTTCTCAGGATTTGCCCTTAAATGCTCTACCATCATCTCAATTGCCTCGTCTTTGGTAATCTTCCCATGATCGGGGAATCTCCCCCTGATTAGAAAATGTAACAAACACGATACATCATTCAGTATGACATACATCTCACTATATCAAAGATGAAACAAAGAGGTCTCAAAGTGTTATCCCTTCACGAATGCATTAAGAATCTCGTGGTTGAGCAGGTTGTACTTGATCATGCATAGGTCATTCAGACCAGATAAAGATAGAACTGTTTGAAACCAATCATCCTCTTGCTGAGGCAATACAACAATCTTCCTCCCATGGTTAAGAAACTTATGGGGATCACGCTCTTGAAATTTGTCAGAAATAGTCAATGTTAGTAATAATCAATGTCATCAATTAAAATAGACGTGCAAAATAAATTAAAAATCCAACTAATGCTACCTCTCTGTCCCAGACATGTCTGACAGTAAGGTCTAGATACAAAAGAAGTAAGGACAAATCAGATGGACCTCTTCCAAAAGCTTCTGGTTCGACATCTGAAACAGCCTCACCCTCCGAAGGTGACTTTGGATCAACATGATCATCAACGGAAGGTGGCACTGGATCAACAAGAGATTGCACTAGTGAATTCTGACGCCTGCAGGAGGATGGAGAAAGTGATGTGTCAGCTGGTGAATTTCGCCTCCTATGGGAAGAAGAAGAAGAAGAAGGTGGAGTGGTCTGAGGTGAAGTACGATCCCTAGAAGTAGACTGTGCCCCATATGTCGATGCCTCTACCTGACCAGAGGTACCTGCTGCCTCCAGAACCTGTTGGCTCCGCTCCCGCTGAACAGATGTGTGCTGAGCAACCCAATTATTTCTCAGTCTTTCGACTCTGTTAGCCATTATGTATGTAAGGTAAAGTAAGACATATCATTAGTGCACGCAAACAAAACACATAAATAATTAAAAAAAAACAGACTGCAGGAACTAATATAAATTTTTTGTGTCTTCTGTTTTTATTTTATTTACTTCTGTTGTATCTGCTGCCAAGAGAATTAACTCATAATGTGAACATTAGTTATGATTCTGAAACTGTGATCAGAAGCTAAATAATAAAAAAACGTGAAACACAGTTCAAACTCCCCATCCTTCTTGTGTACTTTTCACACGTTCATATTGTATTATATATATATATATATATATATATATATATATATATATATATATATATATATATATATATATATATATATATATATATATATATATATATATATATATATATATATATATATATATATATATATATATATATATATATTTATATTTATATTTATATTTATATTTATATTTACAACTAATTATAAGGGACTATCTATATACCAAAATTCTTAACAATATATACAAATATCTAAAATAATATATTAAAATATAATTAAATGAGCTACGTTACCTACATTGGTAAAGTTTAAGAAGTTTATACTTTGAACATAAAAAGACCATGTGGATAGATTTGAAAAGTCACACTCACCTTAAATAGGCACAACTCACATGCAAAGTAATAAGAAATGTGTAATAGTTTTTTATTAGCTAAAAATTCAATATGTGACAATTCTTTGTAGTTAAGAGTTGTCAGAGATTTTTAGGATTGTTTTGGTGTTAAGACAAGCTTACACAGGGAGTGTGAGAAGCTCTGTTTATGGTGTTTTTAGAGAAAATTGCAAATTTATCTCAACCTCATGGTTGAGGTATTTATAAGAATCTCTTAGGTCTGGGTTTAAGGCTCCAAGCTTTTAGGAGCATGAGAAATGGGTAGTTACTATCCCTATTATCATAGAGAATGTGGTTTCCTCCTTTTTACTCTTTCTCTAATACCAATATTGTAGAGACACATTACTTTTCACGTTTTCACACATGGGCTAGTAATCCAGGAAACATATAACATCACAAAGAAAACGGTGTGAATTCCCACAAACGGACAGTTGGGAAGCTTAATGGGGGTGATGTACTGTGTCGCCTACTCTTAGGAAATTCTTCTGGGAAATATACCAATACACATTCTTTCAAGCACGAGGGCTTGTAAAAGGCGAAGTGGTTTAATTTAATTGTTTCCTTTCATTTGGTTGAGTCTCTCAAGTACATTTTGGGGCGAGTCCCCAAAGCATTCTTGGGGTGAGTCTCTCAAGCGTACCTTGAAGCAAGTCCCTCGAATATTGTATGAGATCAACCATGCAAAATATTAAACTAATTCAATGATGTTTTAAACCTTAAGAAGACAAATTATTCTTAATTCTTTACACGTGTTAGGGACGTGGGGAGTCTTTCCAATTGTTGGGAGAAATATTAAAGGTTGTTGATTAACCCTAAGTCTGGATTTTGAAT